CGCGAAATCGCCCAGGGTGATACTGAGAGCCGTACAACGTTTCCAAAGTGTGCAAGTACGCTGAGCCACGATAGACCAACGCCTTGCCCACCAAGCGGCGTGGAGCACGAAATGTGATGCGAACGACGTGTCTGGCCCACTTGTGTGCTTCAAGCAGAGCAAGTTCATCCCAACGTTTCCAGCCATACTTCAGACGCAAGTGCCTCATGCGGTCTGCGGTGATCGCCATGTAATCCGCTGCATCGGTCTGCTTGTCGATTGAACCAGAAAGCTTCCATCGCATCACCCTCCTTGTCATTATGTCCTCTACCCCTCGCAAACGAGTCAATTGTCGCTGTGTCAAGTGGCACGTGCCCAAATTGTAAAGAAGGGCTGGTAAGACGAGTTTCCTGAGCAGAAGTAGACGTTTGTGTAACGGATCGGCCTTGCTCCTGAGGAGATTGGCGTGCTGCCCACGCTCGAGCAATTCGATGGTCAACTTCTGCTGCACAGTCGCCAGAACAAGACACCATACTTCCAAGAATCTTGATTCCTGCATCTCGCGGCACATATCGTAATTCCACACTTGCACCCGCCGTGGGGAGAGACCAAAATACTTCAAAACCCTAGGGAAAATCAATGTTTTTGGTGTTCTCACTTTTTCGCTTGCGATGCACATCCGAGGCGTCAAAATGGCTCTAAGATGGCTCAAGATAGCTCCAAAAGGGGCCCAAGAAAGCCCCAAGACGGCGCCAAGAGCAGCAACGAACGCTCCAAGAACACCCCAAGAGGGGTTCAGGAGACGATTTAAAAGGCTCTACAAGGGCGACGCTAAAAAATGTTTCCGCGTTCTTTGCCAGATCCCCTCCAACATGGCTCTACCAGCGCCTCTGAGGCCTCCAAGAGCGCTTCAAGAGCGCCCCAAACGACGCCCAAGAGGCCCCCAAGAGGCTCGCAAGGTCGTCAAAGATGGGCCAAGACGGCTCCCTGAGAGCCTCGGGAAGCCCAAGCCACCTTCCAAGATGGCTGACGATTGCGCGACCTGCCTCAAGATGGCTCCGACGATGTTTCAAGACGTTCCAAGGCTGTTCCAAAACGATTCCAACAGGCTGGCTCAAGATATCGCAACCTGCCTCAAGATGGTTCCGAAGATGTTCCAAGACGCTCCAAGACCGTCCCAGGACGATTCCAAGTGGCCATATGAGCTCTCCAGGATCCCCTTCCCACTCGCCTACCTATTATTCCTCCTCCGTCATCCCCCTCCCCCTCTTTCTCCTTTTTTTTCCACATCTTTACAATATTTTCCATAAGTATCTTCTTCTGTTCCTTATCCACCATCCCGCCCCCTTTCTCTTCCTTGCCTTTTCCTACCCCCTCCCCACTGACCTGGACAGGAGGGGCGGGGAGCGGTCAGAGCGTCCAAAACAGCCTCGGCGAGGAAGCCAAAATCATTGATTTTAGCAGGGTTTCGGCCCCATTTTGGCCTCCTGGGGGGGCAGCGCTAATTAAAGCTCAGCTCTTCTTTGATAGATCTCCTCCAAGATGGCACAAAGAAGCGCCCAAGAGGCCCCAAGAGGTCCCAAGATGGCCCCAAAATGGCCCCATGAGGCCCCCAAGAGGCCCCCAGAAGGCCCCCAAGAAGACCCTCAGAGGCCCCAAGAGGCCCCCCCCCCGAGGCACCCAATACCCCGAAGAGCCCCCCAGGATCGCCAAGAGACCCCCAAGACGTCCCAAGAGGCCCCCAAGAATCGCCCAAGAGATACTCCAAGAGGCTCCTAGAGGCATCCAAGAGACCTCTGGCCCTTGTGCTTGCCCTCCTCCTCCTCCTCCTGTTCCTCCTTCCTGCTCCTACTCCTTCTCTTCCTCCTCCTCCTCCTCCTCCTCCTCCTCCGCCTCCTCCTCATCCTATTCATCCTCCGTCTTCCCACTCCCTCATCCATCCATCCATCCACCTCCTCCTTCTCCTCCTCACTCCTTTGCACGGTTCGGCCGTCCTCCTCTTTGCTGCCGCACTTCCCTGATCACCTCAACTCGCCTGGACATCGTTTCGGGATGGGCTGGTGGGGATAAGCGAAGCGTCTAGAATTCCACACTCGCACCCGCCGTGGGGGTCGATAAAACTTCCGGCCAAAGATTCGGAACAGCCACTGTCTGAGATAAAGAGCCTCTTGCTGTGGAAGACCATGTGCAAGAAGAAAGATCGACGCTGAAACCGGCCCGTTGTAGTAGCTGACAGTACTTCGCCATCATTGCCCGCAGTTGACGCGCACTTGTGGCCAGGAGCCAAAAATTGTCCGCGAACATGAGCAGCGAAATTCGTTCCGTCCCCTGCCTGGCTATTTTGAGCGGCCGCTGACCACAACTGGCGCGCAGCACATCCAAATCTTCGTGCGAAATCTCCACGCCCCAGTTCTGAGTCGCAGCATACTTCACGAATGGTAAAATCACTTCTGTGTCTACTACCAAGTTGAAACTCCCTGGTGCTTCTGGATCACCTTGGAACATGGATCGCGCGCGTGCTATCCCGCGCCCAGGGTGAAGGCCGGGGAGCTTGACGACGCCCCGGCTGCGTCGAACTTCGCGTACATATGCAGCCGTCACAAACCTCGGCACCCTGTGCGCCTCGAAAGAACGAATCCAAGCATGATGGTCCACAGTATCATAAGCTTTGAACACATCACCGTCTAAGAAAAACAAGTTCGTGTTAAATTCGATCGCCTTCTCGATGAGACAAGCGGGCCCCGAAGGGCACGGATCCTCGAGTTTAGTTGTTTAGTGTCTTTCTCTCTCTCTCTCTCTCACTCCCTCCCTCCCTGCATGGCGAGAGGCTGCCGATCCACTCGTCTGCTACATGCAGGGGGGCTGGGCCCCAGAGTGGAGCGATACGAATCAACCCCAAAACGTATCAAAGCCACCGAGGGAGGGAGGAGGGAGGAGGGAGATAGAGAGGCAGGGGGACTGCCTGGTAAATGAGGCGAGTCCAAGGTGCGACTATGTTCCGCCGAGCCAGGCGGCCTGTATAGGTAAAAGCACGAAGTAGGGAGGCGGATAGAGTAGATTGGGTTGAGGCCCTCCCAGAGAATAACACAACGCAGCAAAAGCATGCCGATTCTTGAAGTAGGAAGGCGCTTGAGGTAGATTGGGATCTGGATGTCCAAAAACACCGACCTACTTTCAACGACCGGCGTGTAGGGATAACGCGTCCTCGAGGACACCAAGTCACGGGCCCTCCAGACTCTGCACCGTTTTCAGCCTTCCGGGGCCCTCCCCGGGCCCCCCCGGAGCTTCCAGAACGAGACTCGGGAGGGAGAGATGGCCCCGGGAAAAGCCCCGGGGTCCAGAGCCCGCCCTCTCTCGGGACGCCCCTCCTTCGTGGCGTCCCCGCACAGGGCGCGGTCCGGGTGCGCAAGGCCCGGCGGGAGAGCGGCTCACACCAGAGGAGCCGCCGAGTCCCCCCCCGCGCTCGAGGAGCGGCGAGGCCAAGGGCACCGTGGTGCCTGGCAGCGAGGGCGCGGCCCGGCCAGGCCAGCGCCAGAGGCGGCAGCGGGTCCCACAGCCTCGGGCGCAGGTGCGGTCGGGCGGGCGGGGGGGCGCACCGCTCACGCCGCCCGTGCAGACCCACGACGGATGGAGCGGCTGACGCGGCGGCCGGACTCATCCGCCTCGACGGGGCAACGCAATTCCTCCTGCCCCTCCCCCTCCTCCTCCTCCTCCTCCTTCTCCTCCTCCTCCTCATCCTCCTCCTCCTCCTTTGTCTTCCTCTTCCTCCTCCTCTTCTTATTGCTACGATGAGTGTATCTTCGTATGTTAAGTTAACATTACTACTAGTACTAACAATATCAGTAACATGATGATTTCATGTTATTAGTCTTACGTTCAGTGACATTACGACTCTTATTCTTATAGATGAACTTAATATTGGTGTTGTCCGTATTCTTCTTATTCATAATAGCATTAGTTTAGTCATCGTAATATGATTATTAGTATGAGTCGTATTACTAGTCCGAATGCGATTAGTATCCTTAGTACGAGTATTAGTAATAGTGTTAGTAATAATATGTATCGTACTATTTGTATTGCCAGTAGTAGTAGTAGTAATACTACTAAGAATAAGAATCATAGGAATAAGTGTAAGTAATGATAATATGTATGTGTGTGTTAGTGTTCGTCGTACGGCCATTCTTAATAGTATTAGTAGTACTATTGGTGTTGCTAGTATTACTGGTCTTAGTAGCATGGTTCGTCGCATTAGTATTCCCATTATTATGTGTCGTGTCATAGGTATGCCTTAGTAGTCTGATAAAAGTCGTCTCAATAGTTTTCGTAGTATGATTATTGTTCTTGTTATTACTGATATTATTATACTATTAGTATGATTCCTCCTCCTCCTCCTCGTCCTCCCCCCCCCCTCCTCCCCCCTCCTCCTCCCTCCTCCTCCCCCTCCTCCCCCTCCTCTTCCTCCTCCTCCTCCTCTTCCTCCTCCTCCTCCTCCTCCTCCCCCTGCTCCTCCTCCTCCTCCTCCTCCTCCTCCCCCTGCTCCTCCTCCTCCTCCTCCTCCTCCTCCTCCTCCTCCTCCTCCTCCCTCCTCCTCCTCCATCTCATCCTCCGCCTCCTCCTCCTCCTGCCCCCCTCCCCCTCCTCCTCCTCCCCTCCTCCCCCCTCCCCCTCCTCCTCCTCCTCCCCCTCCTCCTCCTCCTCCTCCTCCTCCTCCTCCTCCTCCTCCTCCTCCTCCTCCTCCTCCTCCTCCTTCTCCCTCCCCCTCCCCAATGTCTACTTCTTCCACGTCGTGCAGAGGGCACGACGTCGCGAAGAAATCGCGACAAAATCCCTCGACCCCACCTTCCCGCAGCATATCTCGATGCTGGATGGATCCATGAGGGTCCCAGGACACCGAGAGTGTGGCGGACAAACCGCCCGCCGCCATCTTCCTCACGGCACGAGCTCTTGCTCCCCATGCCAAGGCTGCCAGCGCTAGTGCAACCAGCTGCAGTTCCTCCTGGCATTGCCCCCACGATCGGGGCTCCAGCGTGACGGGGAAGAGCGCGTCGATCACGCGCTCGTAGGTCAGCAGCGCCTGGCCGCGGAGCAGAAGGGGGGGGTGCAGGAGGGCAGGGGCCTGGAGGAAGAGGAGCATGCTGCACGGCAGGATAGCGGGTAAGAAAAAACGCCGGGGGGGCAATGCAAAGGAAAATGGGTCGGGGAGGACAACCCGAGATTCTGGAGGAAGACGACGACGCCCACGAGCAAGGATCGAACCCGAGGTATCAAGCCTCGCCCAGGGCACTGCCATGTGACGGCTCCTCTTTTGAAGAAACGGGAATGACGAGGCAATCCGAAACTGCGGCCGAAGAAGAGATGGAGAAACTGGCACCTAGGACCCTCGATGCACACACACACACACACACGACCACAACAAGTACTGCAGGCCACACACGGCAAAAAAGAACGGCGAGAGAAGGGAACAGATGGTACGAGCACCACGATGCCATTCTAGATGAAAACGCCGTAACCAGAGCCACCCACTTCGGCGCAAAACCAGAACCTGCCCGGCTCGGACAGACCTGCTCCATCGCCCACCGGTCACCGTGGGAGTACTGCACGGACGGATTGCCAGCCTCTCGAATGTCGCGCACGCTCACACGGGCCACCTGGCCCATGGGAGAGATCTCCATCGTGAGACCGGACCCCGTGGCCGCGATGACCCTACTGGCCCGTCCCACGTGCACTGCCTCCGTGGCCACGACGCAATGGCCCAGGAGCGACAGATCGTACCAACTGTCCGCCGAGAGACTGCCGCCTGCGGGTCACTAGGCCGCACGCACAGCGCGCGGAGGCGCACCTCCACCGGGAAGCGGACCAGCGTCTGCTCGAAGCTCCGCCTGGCCACTGCACACCTCGAAGATCGACGTCGTCACTTCCCAGCCCATCTGCACGAGGCTCTGCCATGCCAGCCCGCCCACCAGGGCATGCAAGCACCATCATCAGCATATAGCCAGAGAGGCCCCACAGAGCGGACAACGATATCATCGGTCCACCCGCCCTTTCCCACATTCAAACATGGAGAAAAGATTATACCATTCTCCCACGATAACTTCAGCCTGGTATGTCCAACTGCTAATACAGAAACAACACTCCATTCGCCCGCAATCTTCAGCACTGGCTTGCCACGAAACAGTCCCTCTCATCCTCCTCGGCGATCTCAAAAATCCCCGCTCGCCACGCCAGGCCCCACGATACCGAAGGAAATGCTCAGCGCGCTCCACCACCTGCACTGTACAGGCGCCAAGACCTCGCAACTCAGAAGACTTCAGCAGCGTGCATCCGATGACCACCAGCACCAGCACACGGCGCAGGAAGACCCGCAGAGACGACGACGGGAGCACGCCTGTGGAACGGACAGACGGCACCACGAGGTCATGGATCCTAGGCTTCTTCGGCGTCGCCAAAGTCGCTGCCCACGGGCCAGCACCACCTGATCCATGCCAATGGTCAGGGGGCGCTGGTGCCGCCGTGGAAGGCGTGGACGGTCACCATGCCCTGGGTTAACGTCGCCACGATCACCATCAAGACCACCATCCTGGCCAGCACCTCCGCCACAGGGACAGTCGCCGCCAGGACCGCCACTACGAGGGGGGCTGGGACAGGCCGCAGGACAACCGAGATGACGCACTCGCCCGCAGAGCTACGACGCCCGTGATCCGCGGACACGGTGGTGTCAGGCTCCCCCAGAAGGTGCTGAGCCCAGCGGATCAGAAAGCTGTTCGCCACACAGCCACTCCAGCCACCCAGCAGCCTGATGTGCGCCACCGCTCTCGCCTCGTGGCCAAACCACCCCCACGTCAGCCGAGCCGCCGTGGCTGTGGCGCGGCCCCGGGGGGCAGCGGCGCCCCAGGGGAGGGGAGGG